CAACACTAAAAATTGAGCCGTGATCTTGAGAGAATTAAAATTAAAATAATTAGACATATGTCTAGATTATTAAACCAAACAAGCTTGAATGAAGATATGCTGTCTAAATATACATGCATACAAACATATCTATATATATATAATTTAGATTTCTCAAAGTCACTGTGCCTTCAGAAGGTAGGTGAATAGCCCACTCCACAGATTACCCTTTATATGAATATTTGGACAATTTTACTGTTACACCCGGTACTCACACACACACACACACACACACACACACACACACACACACACACACACACACAGACATTAGATAGATAGATATGAAGAGGGTGAGATAGAAAGATAAATAGATAGATATGAAGAGGGTGATATATATATATATATATATATTGTACGCTATGCCAGTTAATCTATTTAATCTCACTCTATTCATATCTATCTATCTATCTATCTATCTATCTATCTATCTATCTATCTATCTATCTTAGTACATCAAAATCAATCACAGTCTGTTAATATCTATCTATCTATCTATCTATCTATCTATCTCACCTGTTTGTATCGACATATCTGTCTCAGTCTGTTAATATCTATCCCAATGTATTCATTTTCTATATATCTATATATCGCAGTATGTTCACATCTATCACAGTTTGTTATCTATCTATCTATCTATCTATCTATCTATCTATCTATCTCACCCTCTCCATATCTATCTATCTATCTATCTATCATATCTATCTATCTATCTATCTATCTATCTATCATCTATCTTCATCTATCTATCATATCTATCTATCTATCTATCTATCTATCTATCTATCTATCTATCTATCTATCTATCTATCTATCTATGTCTTCCAGATACAAGTCCGACCTTCTTACAATAATTCATTTTAAACGTTGAAATTTGCCAATTTTTCTTTTATTCTTTTTTTTCGTGTGTGTCCAAATTCTTCCCCTCGACTCATTGTCCCAGTTTTCCGAGTTTTCGTACCTCGCCACAAGAAGCAATGATAGACATTCACTGCTACTCTCTTTTGCTGCTATTCCCCGCACTGAGCTAATGATAGTCGGCGTTCATTTCGATTCTGACCGCTAATCGAACTCTCTGGCTGATCTGGGCTTCTTGTCTGGCCGTACATTCATGTCAAATGGACGGCCTTATCGATCATTGAACGTTTTCTTTTCTGTCTATATTCGATTACAAACGCTTAATCGATTCGTGATGAGGTTCATCCTCACTAGCGGGGTCATCCATTCAAAAACTGTGCAGACAGAACCAGATCCCCTGACAACAAACGTATATATCATTATTTTGGACTTTGTATTGTCGAGATAACTGACTACGGACACCTTAGCAGATCTCTGGAGCTAACTGCTAGACTGACCTCTTCTCCAGTAACATTTCCACCTAAACGTCTCGTTTTATTGCTCTATGGTTGCAGTTTCGAACTATTGCCCTCGTCTTTGTTTTTCATCTTATTCTTTTACGCGCTGTGTCCCTTCAGAACTTTAGCGATCATGTCTCTCCACAATTTCCTTTCCTTTACAGCTCTTTTTGTCATATCTCCCAAACCATCAATTGGCACAAAGTCGTCAAGTAGATTGTGTGTTGTTTTCCTCAGTCGCTCTTGCCTTCAATCTGTCCTGCAAGTATCAAATTTTCCAAGCCCTCTTTCCTTGTTATATATGCTATGCATTTTTCTCCTCTGTCCCTCTTGTCTTTAATCTGTCCTGTGAGTATCAGATTTTCCAAGCCCTCTTTCCTCATTATGTAGGTTATGATTTGTCTTCCTCTGTCCTTCTTGTCTTCAATCTGTCCTGTCGGTGTCACATTTTCCAAGCCCTCTTTCCTCATTACGTAGGTTATGTGTTGTTCTCTTCTGTCCCTCTTGCCTTCAATCTCTCCTGTGAGTATCAGATTTTCTAAACCCTCTTTCCTCGTTATGTAGGTTATGCATTGTTCTCCTCTGTAAGCTCTTGCCTTCAATCTCTCCTGTGAGCATCAAATTTTCCAAGCCCTCTTTCCTCATTATGTTGCTTATGCGTTGTTCTCCTCTGTCCCTCTTGTCTTCAATCCATCCCGTGAGTATCAGATTTTCCAAGCCCACTTTCCTCATTTTGTGCCTTAAAAAATATCAACTGTCTGTTCCCGACATTTTGAAAACGTTTCTTTTTCTGCCATTGACTGTAGAACTTCGTCGTTGCTCACATGTTTGGTTCATGGTATTCTCAGCATCCTTCTGTAGAACCACATGTCTGTTGCTTCGACTGTGTTCTTCATCTGTGAGGAAATTGTCGAGCATTCACTGCCTTAGACGAGGACCGATATTACGTAACAGTTTTGTACTCTTTTCTTTCTTTTTTTCCCCGAACGATATTTTTCTGCTTCTAAATACTTTGCTTAGCTTTTGAAAGGCATCTTTCGCTATCCCCCATGCACCTTCAGACTTTCCGTTCTCTGTTAATACGCTTCCCAGATACCTAAATTGCTGCATCTATTTGATTTCGGTATAACCAATTCACTGCAATTGTAATTCTAATAATGCGTAACTAGTGTAGTGCAGACAAAGACTCCGTGGAAAGAGAGGGACCACTGAACAGGACTAAATCCCGCATATACACGAGTATTGTGCGAAACATAGTGGGGGGGGGTCTCTCTATACACAGGTATTTTTTTGTCTATATTTCTGAGATGAGGTATTATGGGAACAAGTAATAAGGAGTGCCAGAGAAAAGCGATAATAACAACAAAAATTGCAATATGAGCTCTGGTAAAAAATATCCAATAACACAAAAAATTGCAATATGAGCTCTGGTAAAAAATATCCAATAACGGCAAAAATTGCAATATGAGCTCTGGTAAAAAATATCCAATAACTGCAAAAATTGCAATATGAGCTCTGGTAAAAATATTGATTGGTAAAAAAATTGCAATATGAGCTCTAAAAAAATATCCAATAACGGCAAAAAATATCCTGGTAAAAAAAATATCCAATAACTGCAAAAATTGCAATATGAACTCTGGTAAAAAAATATCCAATAACAGCAAAAATTTCAATATGATCTCTGGTAAAAAATATCCAATAACAGCAAAAATTGCAATATGAGCACTGGTAAAAAAAATGTTTGCTGAAGACATTAGGTTTATAATACCCAGAAATTCAAGCACTGGACACATGGCACAGTGGATAAAGGAGCTGATTTGATCCAGTGACAGGAACCAAAGAGTGTGAGTTCAATACCCGGTTAAGGCAGTGGAGAACTTGGTAGAAGGGAATTAACAGGAGATAACTGACATTCATTAGACATGGCACGTGGAACTAGAACAGTCTACCCCAGCGAGCGAATTAAAGGGTTCAGTTTGACATTCCAACCATCTGAAGAAGGCCGGAGAGTACACCAACCGAAATATGGTGACAATGATGAGGACAATTGTCTGAATAATGTAAACAAAGTATTTTTTTTTTTTTTGATCCTGCATTTTTGGCGATCGGTTGCACTATACACAGGTAGATTTTTTTTTTTCTGGAGGGGGGCTTAAAATTCATACATTTTAGGTGACCGTGACCTACCTTCTAGACCGATGTACTCACAGAACCTTTGGCCAACATTAACGGTACAGGTAAGCTTCTTTATCCTGCCTCCAGTCGTCTAGATTCTTTCTTTCCATAGCTACCTGGACAGCAGAACGTCATTCACTATGTGACCCGCTTAAAACTTGCAAATACCTTATATAAATGAAGAATTAACAATGTTTTTCCTTTCTCTAATTAGCGTTCATCTTAATTCGCACGTGTTTACATCGCTGAAGTGTCACATTTCCAACGCTACCCCTTTTGACTGATACGTATCTAGACCCTATATCAGAGTTTCTCAAACTTTTTAAGCAACGGCACACCTACGAGCAAATTAATATAGCACAGCACACTTAGTAAATATATATATATATATATATATATATATATATATATATATATATATACATGCTGTATATGTTTCAGTTATGTTCCTTATTCCGTCTTCCCTGTTTATTTATACTTATTTTTACTTATCATATTATTTTGCATTTACTGGCATAAATTAATCTTATAATTCTCCGATACATAATCTTAAAAAAACAAGGGTAAAGGAGCTACCGTAGTCAGGCATGAACCGTAGTCAGGTATGAATCAGTGTCAGGTATGAACTAGTGTCAGGCATGAACCGGTGTCAGGGATGAACCAGAGCCAGGCATGAACCAGAGTCATGCATGAACCAGAGTCAGGTATGAACCAGAGTCAGGTATGAAACGTAGTCAAGCAAGAACGTGTGTCAAGCATGGACTGGAGTCAGATATGAACCGGTGTCAGGCATGAACTATAGTCAGGCACGAATTTTGTCAAGCATGAACTGGAGCCAGGTATCAACTGGTGTCAAGCATGAACCAGAGTCGAGTATGAGCCAGAGTCAGGCATAAACCGGTGTCGGGCATGAATCAGAGTTGGGTATGAACCGCAGTCAAGCATGAACTGGTGTCAGGGATGCACTGGAGTCATGCATAAAATGGAGGCAGCCATGAACCGGTGATAGGCATGAGCCATTGTTAAGCATGAACTAGGGCCAGGCATGAACCAGTCAGCCATTAACCGGGGTCAGGTATGAGTCGTTGTCAAGCATGAACTAGGGTCAGTCATGAACCGATGTCAGGCATGGACCAGGGTCAGGCATGAACTGGTGTCAGGCATGAACCAGTTGCAGACATGAGCCAGTGTCAGGCATGAACCAGTGTCAGGCATGAACCGTTGTCAAGCATGAACCAGAGTCAGGCATGAACCAGTGTCAGGCATGAGCCAGTGTCAGGCATGAACCAGTGTCAGGCATGAACCAGTGTCAGGCATGAACCGTTGTCAAGCATGAAACAGTGTCAAGCATGAACCAAGGTCAGGCATGAACCACTGTCAAGCATGAACCAGAATCAGGTATGAAATAGTGTCAGGCATGACCGAAAACAAACGTACGCTTTGTAAATCTTCGTATGGTTTATTTTTAAGTTAGGTTTTTTTTCACCATTTTGGGGTGATGATACTATAATAATGTGAATTATAATGAAATAAAACATACATGCAACAAATTATTTCTTATTTAACAGTTAAAATATTTCATCCTTGAAAATGGCTAAATGTATAGCCGAAAGCGCTCGGATAAAAAGAACATTCGCACAGTTTTTTATATAATTTATCATCCGAAAAGAAAAAAAAATATTAGATCGCATGACGTGTTTTCTTGTTTATCAAATTCTGATTAGATATGAACCCACCACTTCTTTCTCCCCTCCGCTGTGGGTTAATTAGTTAAATTTTTATCACTAAAACCATTGTCTAAGTTATATATATTCTTAGAATCTAAAAATATTTCCTAGCTTTAAATAACCTGCAAAGGGTTGATAAGCCATAAAAAACAAATTAATCATTTCAACATTTTAAGTTGGATAAAAAAAATCTTGTGGATGTTTGTTTATTATGATACACTAACAATTTAAAAAGCTGGTCATTGAAGATGCCTAAAGTATTGATTTCAATTTGATCTGGATTTTTAAAATTAACTTCTGGTCTAGGGTAAAAATTTATAAAGTCTCCTGCTGCTTGTATTTTGCTTTGCATCAGGAGACTACAGACTTTTCAGCATGAGGTTTTACCTCTTATATTCAAGACATTGAGAAACAATGTATATAATAATTAAAAAAACAAGAAGCAATGTTGAATATGAAAAAATGCACTGACAATCAGTTATTTAACAACAGCAAAACCAGCTATTTATTTCAATCTTTCAAATGAGTGTGGATGAGATAAAATCTTGTACAGACCCCTTGCCCTATGAAAAACAAGCAAGTTAATAAGCAGGAGATGCCAAAAGAA